TTTCTCTCATTGGCCACCTGGGATTTACATCAGTTTCCTGACATCAGACTTCCCTGACCTCTGGGAGCTGAATGTTACAGCTCCATTGCACCATCTCCCACCTCATCTCCTTAGACAACTGGCTGCACACAGGCACAGAAGGATTTTTCCTATTTGCAAGCAACAAAAAGTAAAGCATGATAAAGTTTCATAAACAATACAATACACTTCTCAAGCATATGCTACTTACAAGCCACCTCTAATGAGGTTGCCTTTCTACAAAGGATAATCTTATGAGAAACGTTTTACATAGATAGCTACAGAAAGGTAGAGATAAACATAATAGAAGAGTTTGCTACAAAAGCAATTGTCCTACTGAAAGACGGGTAAGCTTTAACTCCCTGAAACCCAAAGCAGCAGCACAGCTGAAAGGTATCTGAATGAACAAAGAGTGAGGGCAGGAGAAAACTGGAGGATAATGGAAAGGCCCTTTGTCTACACAGTCTACTGGTAAGATGACTTTAGAAATGGTTATTGTATCAGGACAGGTGAAAATACATGAACGATTAGAGAAATTAAATACAGCATATAACAGGCAGAATAGTGGTAATGAAGTTACAGGGGAAGATGGATATTTCTGTGGAATATCCCTTTTGAAAGGTCATGCGATTGGTAGAGGTCTCTTGTGAGTGAGGACAAAGCAATGTTGCGCCCATCACTGAAAGAAGGCTAAGGAGCAACCCAGGGAACCACAGGCTGTACAAGCTCACTTTGGTGAGGAGTAAGCCATCAATATCTCTTGGGTGGTATTTCTGGGATCTTTAAAGAGAAGAATGTGTCCAAAAGCAGTCAGCATGGGCTTTCAAAGGGTAAAGCATGCCTCACCAAGCTGACTGCCTTCATGATGAAGTAACTGCATTTGTGCATGAGGGGACAATAGTGGATGTTGGTCACCTCAACTTCAGCAAGATTTGTGACGTGTTCTCCCTCACTATTCTTGTAGCCAAGTTAGGACATTACATTCTGGAAGGGCAGACAAACAGATGGGTGAAACACCAGTTGGATGATCAGGCTGAGAGAGCAGTGGTGAAGGGGTCATACCCTACCTAAAGGCCAGTGGGACATACTGGGGCAGCACAGGGAACGTTCCTGGGCCCTGTGCAATCGAAAGGCTGTATCCATGACCCAGAAGAGGCAACTCTCACCATGTTTAGCAAGAACAAATGCTGGATTCTGCACCTAGGATGAAATAATGCCGGGCACAAGGAAAGACCGGGAGAGGAGTGGCTGGAGAGCAGCCCTGCAGAGAGGGATCTGGGGGTGCTGGCTGGCAGGGGGATCAACAGGAGTCAGCAGTGTGCCCTGGCAGCCAAGAGTGCAAACCGCACCCTGGGGTGCAGTATAATGAGGGGCTCAAAAGAGGGGATGTTGTGGTTTACCCCCAGTCAGCAACTAAGCACCACACAGCCGCTCGCTCATGCACCCAGTGGGATGGACAATCAGAAAAAAAAAGTAAAACCTCTGGGTTGAGGTAAAGACAGTTTAAAGATGACTGCAGAGGAAGGAGAAATAATATAATAATAATAATAATAATAATAATAATAATAATAATAATAATAATAATAATAATAATAGAATATACCAAACAAGTGATGCACAATCACCACCTGCTGACCGATGCCCAGAGTGTCCCCAAGCAGCAGTCACTGTCCCCCAGCCGACTTCCTCCATCTTATATACTGGGCATGACTTCATATGGTATGGAATAGCCCTTTGGCCAGTCTGGGTCAGCTGTCCTGGATGTGCTCCCTCCCAGCTTCTTGTGCACCTGGCAGAGCACGGGAAGCTGAAAAGCACTTGACTAGTATAAACACTGCTTAGCAACAAGTAAACCACCAGTGTATTATCGACATTATTCTCATCCTAAATCCAAACCACAGCACTGTACCAGCTGCTAGGAAGAAAATTAATTCTATCCCAGCTGAAACCAGGACAGGGGATTATCCCACTGTATTTAGCACTGGTGCAGACTCACTTGGAGTACTGTCTGCAGTTCTGGGCCCCACAATTGAAGAAGGGTGTAAGGTACTTGAATGTGTCCAGAGGAGGGCAACAAAGCTGGTGAAAGGGCTGGAAGAAATGTCCTCTGAGGAGCAGCTGAGGACACTGGGCTTGTCGAGTTTGGACAAAAGGAGGCGGAGGGGTGAGCTCATTGCCCTCTACAGCTTCCTGAGGAGGGGAAGTGGAGAGGGAGGTGTTGAACTCTTCTCTCTTGGATCCAGCGACAGGAAGCGGGGAAATGGTTCAAAGCTGCACCAGGGGAGGTTTAGACTGGACATTAGGAAGCATTTCTTTACCAAGAAGGTGGTCAAACACTGGAACAGGCTTCCTGGAGAGGTGGTCGATGCCCCATGCGTGTCAGTGTTTAAGAGGCATTTGGACAATGCCCTTTATAACATGATTTATCTTTTGGTCAGACCTGAAGTGGCCAGGTATTTGGACAAGATGATCATTGTAGGTCCCTTCCAACTGAACTATTCTGTTCTATTCTGTTCGATTCTATTCTATTCTGTTCTCCTCTGTTCTGTTCTGTTCTGTTCTGTTCTATATATATACCTTTTACAGGGTGGATCCCTCCAGCAGCTGGGCTCAGACGCTCAGTCTCCTCAGTAGCTGCCCTGGCTACCAGCCTCCCCAGTTGCATGCTCCTGGACATATGAGCCCCTGAGGCTGCAACCCCATTCCAGATGCTGCTACAGACCACCCCAGTCACACACACACACACACACACACACACAAACTCTTAAGTCCAGCCACTCCGGTCTCTCAGTTGCTGGCACTAATGACATATGGGCTGTCTGACCCCCTGGTCCTTCTCCAGTTGCTGCACTCATCCCCCATGCTCACATGTTCACGCAGAAGAGAGATTCCCCCACACAGCAATGAGCTAGAAATTAAGTTTACTGAGAAGACAGGGCAGACTGCACTGGTCGGGGTCCTCCCCTAAACTTCCCATAATAAGTCCTGTGCAATCCAAAAATGCTCTTCCCAGGCATCCTATAATGTGTCCTACGCCCCTAGGCAACAATTCCCTTAGTCCAAATGGTGATCCAGAGAGCTGCTCGCAGTGACTCCTCTTGGTGGGTTTCACACCTGGACAATGGGGCTGACAGCTCTCCCAGGGCAACCCTGGAAGGAGCTGGGACAAGATGTTCCTTCCTCAGGAGCCTGTCATCTGGGTTCCCACCTGCCACGGTGCCTCTGTGCTCTTCTCGCTTTGTTGAAATGGGCTCTTGATGAGCTGGTGCCTCTTCTGTGGTGGCTCTGGGAGCAGCTGGGGCAGGGGGTTGACTGAGTTATTCTTCCTGCCATCGGTAGTGCCTTCTTTGTGTGCGCAGATGAGCTGCTTCTCACTTAACCTAACGCAACCCAAGAAGAACATGCATCTCCTGAGGCATCTGTATTTGCAGGTTACATACCTATGCACTGGTATTATTTAGCATATTTAACATAGCAGCTCATTGGAATTGCTGTCCAGAAATGCATCAGGATTAGGGGAAAAGCTGTGCTGTTGCACAGGCAATGGTTTCGTTCAGGGCCAGTATCACAGTCTTGTTTCTAAGGCTATAGATGAATGGATTTAAGAGTGGGTACAGGACAGTGTTCAGCAAAGCTACAGTTCTGTTTGTCTCCAAGGAAACATCTCTGGAAGGATGCACATAGAGAGCAATGCAGCTCCCATATGCAATGGCCAAGGTGGTGAGGTGGGAAGAACATGTAGTAAAAGCTTTTTTCCTCCCAGCAGCTGCTGGCAGGGGCAGAATACAGAAAAGGATGCCCATGTAAAATGCCAGAATTAAACATAAGGAACCCAGTATGATAAACGATAATAAAACAGAGTCTGTTTTCCAAAGCAGGCTGGGGTCAGAGCAGGACAATTTGAATAAGGGGGAGTGGATCTTGTTTGAGCCACAGAAAGTCAGCTTGTAGAGGAGGACCAGACAGTAACTGAAGGCTGTGATGCCTATGACCCAAGCAGCAACAACCAGGTGGATGCAGAGCTGAGGCTTCATGATGGCAGCATAGTGCAAAGGCTGGCAGATGGCAACGTAGCAGTCAAAGGACATGACAACAAGTAGAACCAACTCTGTACAGCCCAGGGCAAAATAGAAACAGGACTGGGCAAAGCAGCTGCTTAGTGAGATTGTCCTCCTACCAGAACTCAGGATCACAAACAATTTGATGCTTGTGGAGGATGTGAACCAGATTTCCAGGAAGGCCAGATTGCTGATGAAAAAGTACATGGGGGTTTGCAGGCGGTGATCTACACCCAGGAGGAAAATGATGGTTGCCTTCCCCATCACTGTTGTCAGGTATATGAGCAGAAGGAGCAGAGAGAGAAATAGCTGTAGTCTTTGATCAAGCCCTGAGAAACCCTCTAGGATGAACTCAGTAACTGCAGTTTCATTTTCTGCTCCCATGCTGAATTTCAGTTAATCCTGCTGTGACAGAAACATGACCAAAACCGAGTGTGATTATTTCACACTCTGGATGACAGGAATCCTGCCTTCTCTGCTTCTTTCCTTTCTTGCAGTCTCCCTCCTAGAGAGCACAGAGAGAGAGAGAGTCCTTCAAGCCTTTCTTACCCCCTGATTTTTCTGGTTTACATTTCAGCTCGAGTCCTCAGAGAATTTGTTGTCGTCTTTCTACCTTTGTCTAACACTTGCAAAGGATTCTTTCTCCAGAACAGAAGATTTTGAAGAGGCTGCAAGCTATTTCACCCCATTCACTCAGACCTTTTGCAAACATCTGTCACACCTATGTGCCAAACTCATCTCTTCTATTGCACAAATGCTAAACCATCAAATGAAATGAAATCAAACCAAATCAAATGTGTATGTTGAAAGCTATTCTTTCTACTTTTCAGAGGTACTTGCCTTTTTGCACTAGGAATCCCTGAGAGTCTCTTCTTTTCAAAATAAGTAATATCCAGCATCTCTTTTGTAATCCCCTGCTTCCTTCCACACCTCCTTGCTCTCTGTTTCTTCAGGACAGGTAGAGGGGGTGGAATAGGGACCAAGTATAACTCATCTTCTTTCATACTCTAAATAATGACTGAAATGGATGATGACTCCACACAGTCTGTCACACAATCTCATCTGACCTCTGTCTGCACTGAAGCACGGTTGTTTCCAAAGAGTTGCTCATTGCTATTGCCACCAAATGTCCTGACCTAAACACAGAGCAAGAGAAGAGTGTCTGGAAGAGATTTGTAACCTTTCTTTTGCATGCCAGTTATAGGTTGGGAGGAACCAGCCTCTAGCGTTTTCTCTTGTTTCCATTGACTCTAGAGGGAGCCTGGGGAAAACCAGTTCTCACAGGCACCTGCAGCCAAGTAGATGAAACTCACTATTCAAGTCTCAAATCACTGATTTATTAACGTTGTTTGTTTGTTTTTTTAATCAAAATAGACATCTAACAGAAGGAAGCACAAGAAAAATATATGCAATAAAGACTGATGTTTTTCCCTTGATCTTTACATTTGTTTTTAGACAAGGAAAGGAACAGAGAAGATGACTCCAAAAGTAGGATGATTCCAAGTGCAAGGGGAGGAGAGGGAGGAGAGGAGATGGTGGGTTTGAAGCAGTGAAAGAGATCTTCTCCACAGGCTGTGTTGTCCTCTTAGGCTCTGTCCCAGGGCAGAATGGGTAGCACTTCCACAAGGAGTAAAATGGGAAGATCAGTACAGGGCAGTGCTCCATGTTTGCACTGACATTTTAGCTTGGGGTTCAGGCTAGCCTTAGATCCCAAATGTCCGGCTTGTTCTTGGCCTCTAGTCTGGCATAGGGGAAGCTCTGCACTGGGTTCCTTTGGGAAATTTTCTGAGATAAAACCACTGGCTGTATTTGAGCAAAAGCTCAAGCTCAGTCACCTACAGCACTATGAGCGTAGCGAATCAGTGAATGAGAGGGGACAGTCCCAGCGTCCATTTTCTGGGTCAGTTCAAACACTCAAAGGGTTGTGTCTTCTTACTCTCTTGGGTGACACCTCAATTCTCTAAAATTGTTCTTCTCCTGAATGCACTTTCTTAGGGGAACCTGCAAATTGGCAGACAGCTTACAACAAAGAAGCTTCTCTTCAGGCCCCGCATCGTCAAGCATGCAGCCAGCATATGCCATAGTGAGTGAAGAAATATAGGGTATGCAGGTGAAGGATATCCAGGTGAAGAAGGCCTTAGTGCAGCTTTGCACAGAGGTTATCCTCAGGACATTGCATATAATGTAGGCATAAACCACAGCAGTCAGTGTGAAGGAGCTCAGCAACACAGCGGAGAAGAGCGCAACGCTCATGTTTCATAGTAGCTGGTGCCCATGCGGGGGGCTCTCAGCAAAGGGATGATGCCGCAGAAGAAGCAGTCTCTACAGTGGGCACAGAGGATCTAATGGCATACAGGATGGTGGGGCTGAGCATGGAGAGAGATGCCGTTCCCCAGCAGCTAAAGATGAGCATGGAGCACAGCCAGGAGTTGGTAAGGACAGAGTCGTGTGAGGGGCTGCAAATGGCCCTGCAGCAATCGAAACACATCTCAACACATAGGTTAAACTCAGCTGTGCTGACGGAGAAGAAGGGACTTGTAAGCAGCCACAGAGATATCTTAATCTCCAGCATGAGACTGACAAACATGTTAGGGGGAATGACCAGAGTGAACCAAATATCCAAGAAGGACAAGGTTCTGTGGAAGGGATGCCTGCAGGTGTGGCACTAGTGGTGGAGCCAAAGGATGGCAATGGTGATTGCATTCCCCATGACAGCAAGCAGAGAAATCACCAGCAGCAGTGTGAAAAGGAGGGCGTTCAACTCATAAAGGACTGAATAGGCCTTCAGGAAAAATATTCTTGCTCTGGTATGGTTGTGAGGATCCATGTTGGTACCCGGTCAGTTGAAGGTGTGGCAAGGGTAATCAATATCGTGCTTGGTGAAATTCCTCTTGTTACCTTTGTCAACCTTCCTTTCCCTTTTCTTAGGTTTCCTTGTCCTTCTTTCGTGGACCTCAGATCAGATGCTTAATTCCTCCAATGTGGAAATCTGCTCTACCTCCACTACCCTGCCCAGGCTGCTGGCCAGCTTCCTAACCAGGGACAGAACTGTTTCTGCTCAAGGCTGCATGACACAATTCTTTTTCTTTGCCTGTTGTGCAGGTACCGAGAGTCATCTGCTGGCCACCA